GTTAATTCACAGAGGTCTAGGATTTATAACACATGGGATAATCACATCAGATCACAAAATGGTGCACAACCACACAATACTGGGAATCATGGCCTAGCCAAGTTGATACACATTTTGGAGGATACGGTTCAATCCAGAAAAGTATCTAATCAAATTCTCTCTCCTTTTTCAGGAAATTTGCCCCCCGATGTTCTGTGTGCAAGGAACCTATCATGCCAGCCCCAGGCCAGGAGGAGACTGTGCGTATTGTGGCTCTGGATCGCGATTTCCACGTTCACTGCTACCGGTGTGAGGTCTGTTGTCCTTGTTCCTATGCCCTGCCCCCGTATAGCTGACAGCCAAAGTCCTATTCCAGCTGGGTTTTCATAGTGATTAATCTGGGAAAGATCCTAATACCTGTGTTCATAGAACTTGGGTTTTAAATCTAACACTGGCATTTAATGCGAGTGACATTGGATAAGTCACTTTACCTCTCAAAAGGACTCAAATTCTTAACTCCCCCAAGTATGGCTGTGAGACTGGAATATAAAATTATTTATTAAAGGACGTTGTAAATTTTAAAGAGCTAAACTAGTGAAAATATTAACTTTGGCTTTAACTTTGGCTCTGTTACAATGACCTACTCTTATGGGACAGAGATGCCATTGTCACCCATGGGGAAGGATCAGAAGAATTCTTTCATCTCAGAGGAGTTGGAACTTCTTGTACAAAGTTATGGAGCATGATATGTTTAGCAGTCATTGACTGAGCACCTAAGATAACAATTAGATAATTGCTAAGGGTTATGGAAGAATTATTCACAAGGTGTTATGGGAATACATAGACTAGACCTGAGCTCTAGGCTGGAAGTGACAAGGAAGGCTTCTCAGAGGAGGTCCACCGAAGCCTGAGGGACATGTAGCCATTAATACAGCAGATGGCAAGAAGTCTGCCCATCCTATAATTTGGATATCAAAAGGGCACCAGATTCACAAATCAAAATGGTTTTAAAACATTTTCATGTCCTGGTTCAGTAAGTTACCCAGACCCCCTGTTTTGAAGCAGTTGTCTTGGCCACTCGCTCTTCTGAGTGCAGCAATTTTCAGCTCCCTCTTCTATCTGTGGGGGATAATATGAACTTCCTTATTACCACATCCTCATGAGATGGGCTCATTTAGTCCAACTGGGAGATCTTCCCTTGACAACAGGCTGGTGGGGCTGTGAGGGCAGAGCTTGGCTCTCTGGGACGACATTCTTTCCGCTCACTTTCTTAACGATACCTGACCACCGGTTTTATGCAAGGTCTTTTGTTTCTCCCTTTACCTGTCACTCTCTGACCTTAAAATGAGAAAAGTTCATAAAAACGACCACTTATACATGAGGTTTTATAACCAAGGAAGTAAAGGGTAACAACAGTGTCCAGTATCCCCTTTAAAATTGACCCAGATCCTAAGTGTGTAAGAGCTAATGGATACTTTAGAGATCATTTTACAGATGGAGAAACTGAGGCTGAACAAAGAAAGGCTTCCCAGCATTCTTCACACACTTGTTATACATGCCTGTATGCTTTAACTTTTCAGTGTGTGTGTGTGTGTGTGTGTGTGTGTGTGTGTGTGTGTGTGTG